CAGATCAACTTCCAGTTCATTGCGTGCCACGATGTTCGCCCCCAGCGCAGAGCAGCGTGAAATTGATAAACAGATTTCGGAACGGTTAGATAAACAAAGGATATGCTTTTATCCATTTTTTTGTAGCAATTCCACTTTTTGATTGATGGACATCGAAACATACTTTCGTTTTGTAGATCCTTTGGGAGCTCCAGCATCGGAAATTCTATTTGACATAATCGAAAGTTCAAGCTTACTTTTATAAAATTGCTCTTACAGTCTGCAAAAAATAATAAGCCGGATCGAATTCGAAGATTAAGGAACAATGCAATCATCAACATTAACTGAAATAGATAATTAGATAATTTTAGCTGATACCGTCCGTTATACATTAAATGCGCATGCGAAAACGTATTCTGCGCTTGCGCAGATGCATATGCGCAGTCGCAAAGGTCTTGCGCCCATGCGTAAACGCCCATGCGCATGCGTTAACGCGGCGCATGCACAGAAAGATTTTAGCTTTGAGGTCCGGATTATAGATCATTCCGGATTATGGTTGTCCGAATTAACGACTTTTGACTGTATAAGACTCCATTTTGGAAGTGGAGTGAATCCCAGAGAGCCCAGTACCTTTTAGTTGTAGGACTGAAAATGGAAATGTCCTGCCACTTGGGTTTTGTACTGGATGATTCCTTTAGTTCTATTATTGGTTTAATGTCAGGATCCGCTAATTGGTTTTCTCTAACTTTTCCATCACTCCATGGATCTGGGTCAGTTGGTGTTGAAGATGTTACTTGTCGAATACTCGAATTCACCTACCTGTACTTAGCCTCGGCTCTTGAACAATGGCTGCAGTGTGCAGGACAAGGTTTTCTAGAATAAAGCATCCGCATTTCCGTGGGGGGAGACTTTACGATGTTTTACCTATTCTAACTTTACGATGTTTTATCTCAAAGTCATATTCCTGGAGTCTTTGAATCCATCTGGCTATTTGTCCTTTGAGATTTTTGAAATTCAGTAGCCAGATTTTTGCAGACATCAGGTGGACAGTTTGGGTATGCTTGATGCGCCAGCCTCTCGATGTCAGTCACCAGTTCTTGAAGGCTTTCTGTGATTTTCTGCTGGTGAGTTTTCAACTGCGGATGCCTACAGTCCTTTGCGCATGTTTTCTCGAATCTCATTTCCATCGCATTCGAAAGGCCGTTGAAGTTTGAAATCTGGTCTTCGGAGAGGATCCTTAAGATGTCTGCAGCATCTCCACGGAGTGATGCAGTCAACAGTGAAGCTTTCATGTGGGAGTTCCATTTGTTATTTTCCACAATCGAAAACTGGGTCTTATATATACTCCATGATGATTTCCCATCCTATGTGCTTAGTTTGATTACCGTATGAGAATAAACTGGGGAAACCTTGAAATCTTCAGTTTCGTTCTTGAGGTCAGTCCGGTTTTCTTTTGAAACATCTATGTCTTTCTGGAATTTTCTCAATTTTTCTTCCAATCGTTCTTCCACAGCTGCTATTTTTGCTCCAGTATTCTCTCTAAGCTTTATGATCTCGCTTTTAATCTTATCTTGCTCCACTTCCATCTGTTCGAATTTCTCTTGCATCTTTTCTTGTATGGCTTTTATTTTGCTCTTGATCTCAGCCTTTATCTCCTCTTGTCTGGCTTTCATCTCTTTCAGTTCGGCTTACATTTCAGCTCTTATCTCTTCCTGTCCGGCTTTCATCTCAGCCCTCATCTCGGCTAAGAAGTCCATCAAAGTCTTTGTTTCTTCCACCATGGCTTTCCTCTGCAGGCAGGTCACTGGTATTAACTCGCAAACCCCACTCATGACACCAGTTGTTACATTATTTTTTTCGTTTCACGTTCATATATACGGGTTTATGTGGATTTGGAGTGAACAACGATGACATTACTTGATGAATTATCAAAACACATTTTATTGGCTGGTATTATTCAAACAGCTCTAAAATCACATTTATAGTAGTCGATATCACTTTTACAGTTATTAAAGAACTACTATAGACACGCTGTAACAATCAGTGACACAGCCTTCAGGTAATTAGGCTATAACGGTGAAGACAGTTTCACAGCAAAGCATCAAATTACAGCTCACCACTCTGCTTGGTTGTTCTCGGAATACATACTCTTGAGACTCTACAACTCACAGTGCAGTCGACAATACAAAAGGGTTCGGCTCTCGACTCAGTTCAGTCGTTCCCGGAGCTTAGCACACTCCAAGACAAAACTCGACGATGCACTATCTCACAATACATTAAAGACTCTCTTGATGCACTGATGCACTTGACAACTAACTCAGGACTAGACTTCGAGACACTTGCTCAGTGACTGGCTATCAACTCGCTAATGAGGCACCAAGTAACTTTCGGCGCATCAGCAGGGTTTACATAGCTTTTGGCTTGTGCTCGAGAACATTCTGGGTTAAACCGGTAAGAATTCATTCCAGAAGGTTCTCTATCCGTCTATGGCATATTGCCAATTTTGTTGCCGAATGTCACTAAATGAGCAATTTCTCGCCAAATGTGGCAACCCTGCCTTCCCTTGCCATTTTCTGGTAACCCTTAAACATGCTTTGCGGGGAAGCTATCTTACCATACCTGTACATATCGTAACAATATTATTTCCAGTTAAAAAGCATATTTTATGCATTTTAAGAGACAGTGTTACCTTTTACATGCAAAGCTTTCATGTGACATTAGCACTAAATACAGGTTTTCCCTTATCTGGTCTTGCTGTAATTGTTTTCTGTTATAGCCGGTCATTTGTATGAATTAGATTTTCATTGCCACTTTGAATAGTGCATACTTAAATACACTCATGCTTCAGTTAGTAGTAGTTATAATCTAAGCTTTTAATGTCATAGCCATTAAATCAGTGCGTGTGTGTGTGTGTGTATATATATATATATATATATATATATACTGTCTACCAATAAATATTTTAAACCCATGCAAATGTCAAATCTGCGATCCTGATATATGCCACAACATCTACTGTTAAATATCATGTAGGAAACAGCTTTGGTAGTAATTGCATGCAAGATTCTATGAAGTACAGAGTTATCTGATTTTGAGAAATTTGTAATTGTTGAGCATCACAGAAATGGCTGTTCCTTAAGGAGTATGTCTAGCAAGTGAATTACTCAAAATTGACAGTGGCTAATGTGATTCCAGAAGTTGAAATTGAGCATTAATTGTTGGATTGTGCCCCAGTTTGGTAGACCCTTAAAATTGGGAGACAGAGACCAACAAGTGCTGTCCAGAGAAATTCTAAAGAATTGCACCCAACCGATGGCCCACATTCTGCAGGGATTTCAACAGGCATCTGGTAGATTTGTTTTGATGAATACCACCCATAAGGAAGCACATCTGCTTGGCCTTCTTGGTTGTACTGTTGCCCATAAGCCTATTTGCATTTGCTATTTTGTAATTTTGTTCAGTGTATTCTGTATTTCAAAGTTCAACCACACAGCTGTTTTAATGTAGTGCAAAGCATATCGACGGTGGACTGTAGATTAAAACACATTTTATTGGCTGGTATTATTCAAGACAGCTCCAAAATCGCGTTTATAGTAGTCGATATCACGTTTAAGTCGTCGAAGAACTACTAAAAATGGGTTCTGTGGAGCAATGAATCAAGATTGGCCCTCTATCATTCAGATGGCAGGGTCTGGTTCTGGCATCTGCCTGGAGAATGAATTCTGCCAGAATGCATTGTGCCCAAAGTAAAGTTCAGCAGAGGTTGAACTATGGTCTGAGGAGGTTCAGCTGCTATGGAGTGTAACCATTGGTCCTAATTCATAGTAAGCTCAACACCAACACGTACTGCACTATTTTGGATCACACTGTCTTCCCATTTTATGGCTTGGACCTATGTTACTTTCAGGATGACACTGCCAGTTGTCATATTGCAAGATCCGCCATGGATTGGTATGGTTTCAGTGGGTCTAACCAAGTAGGTTGCCTCCCAAAGCCCTGACCTGAACCGTATTGAGAACCTGTAGGATGAATTGGATCTCTGAATTAAGGGGTGCAACAACTGTCCAACATTGGTGAAGGAACTTACTTGCCTTCTCTAAATACCAATAGCCATTATACAAAGACTTGTGGAAAGCATGCATTGGAGGTTTGAGGCTGTAACTTGCACTCGTGGAGGCTCTACCAACTATTGAATATGAATAAATTTTGTGTTTCTTTTTTAACACAGGTGTCCAAATACTTCTATATTTTTTTTTTTTTTTTCATGTGTGTGTTATTTTTTTAAAAACTACGTTAATATGAAATGATGAATTTGAGCATTCAAAAATGAGGCAAATTATATGTTAAAATTATATTATTGGAAAGAGCATATTGATAATCCAAGAACTTGTACATTATGTATGTAATGAATTCAAGGCTAGCAAGCGAATTCAGTGAGTGGTTAGTTATGAAACCTGATATCTTTTCAGGACTTTTATAAGTAAATATATATATATATATTTGGAAAATATTCTCAATTTAGTTCTTTTTTGAAGGATTTAAGAACAAAAGTTATTGTAGATGCATTATGGAATAATGGATGATTGACAAAGAACGGTATCTCAGTATGTGGTAGTTTTGAAGGAGAGGGCAATACAGTTAGATAAAAAATTATCAATGGTGTTGTTTTGCTTCATAGTAAAATAGAAGAAAAGCTTAAATTATTATTTTTACTTACTAAATGCATAAATATATAACAAATATTCATGTGCAAAATACATATTTTAAAAAATATGGTTTATAACCTGTGATTGCTGTTTTAGTTTAACTGCTTATTTATGCATCTGGCCCAAAGTGCAGTCGTACAGAGGCTTGTTAATTAAGAACATGCTGTAAATGTTAGATACTGTCAGTTATTAAATTAAAACTTCAAATCCAATTCTTGTATGAGTTATTTTAATATATTACATATCCTTTTAATATTGCAATTCTTGTCTGCTTTTGAGGGGCAGATTGTAGTTTTATTCTTTTATTAAATGCAGTGGTCAGTCGACTCCAAGAACAGTTTCCTGCTGTGTCAAGAACATTAGTTAACATGGCTTTAGATAGTAGCAGTTACAATGAAGAACGTGCCAAACAGTTTCTTGCAGCAATGACACCTCAGGATGGGTGAGGATTTTGTAGCTGTAATTTGAAAATATGAATTTCTTTGCTATTGATTATGCACTTGATTTTTGTTTTTCCTCTCTGTGTGTGCATAAATGGTAAAAATATTAAAATATTTATAAGTTGTTACATCTTACCCATTTTCTTGCCACAAATTTTGTTTCTGTATTATAACAGCTTTTGTTCAGTTTTGTCTGTTTAAAAGCTCATTAAATTTAAATAAGATTTATTTCTTAAGTTTTGTGAAGCTTGCTAATTGTTTAAACTAGGGGTCTTCAACCTTTCACGACTGAGAGCCACATCAATAAATTCACAAAGATCCGCTGGCCACATGTTTCTCAAAAAAATAGTGTAGTCAGAAAATTTATATGAAAAGGGAGGTTTATTTTGCAAAACTACAATTGATTCTAAGCGAAGAAATAGTGTTACAGATTTATATATATTGGTGCAAAAAGTCAAATGAAATTCAAATTAAAATGTTTTGCAACTTTTTTTAACTATAAAAAAAAGTATAGAGATGATTGTACAGAACAATAACAAAATTTACAATAAAAAAAAAAAAAAAAAAAAAAAAAAAAAACTTATATTACTGAAGGGAGATGGTAGTTACTTTAGTTTTAATGTGAAATTCGACATTGTTTTTGCTTGATTAAAACTTCGATATCCGGTTTAATCTGTGTTGTTGCAATTCGTAAAGTTTCCTCCAAATATCTCTCTGTCAGCTGTGTTTTTGATTTTAGGATTTTCATTTTACTAAAAAGCTGTTCACATATGCAGGTACTGCCAAAGATAGAAGCATGAAGAGCGCATTTTTACGAATTCCTGGATACTTGTCTTCGGTCACGTACTTCGAATAAAAATCAATTGATGCAGGATTTTCAAGAAACTTGCATTTTACTGCAGAGTCACACTGTAGATCTATAAATTCTAATTGAAGTTCAGGTGGAACACTTCCAACATCTACTGAAAATGGCGAGGAGTACATTCTGATAAACATTTCATTTTCACGAAAATCTTAAAATCTGCTTTTGAATTCCTCTTTCAAATTTGAAATGCATTGTATATAATTATTTGAATTCCATGTTGTAGAGTTCTTCACACACTCCATGAATTTTTTAAAAGTGATTGGAATTCTTATTTAGCAACTTTCCTACAGGATTAATTTTGTCTCAAAAGCTTCTTCAAAGTAATAAAGATTATGAACAAGTAGATTTTTTCCCAGTAACTGGTAGTTCAAATCATTGAGATGACCTGCAATATCGACAAGAAATGCAAAGTTTTGCAATCATTTCTCATCATTGAATTTGTGAATAGATTTCCCTTCAGATTACATGAATCATTGAACTTTGCTCTTGAAAGAAAGTAGGCGCGGAAACATCTTTCCCTGGATCAACAAACGTACTTCCATGTAATACACAACATCACCTATTCAGCTTCCAATTCACTCAAGAGCTGTTGAAATTGCCTGTGATTAAGTAATTTAGACCAAATGAAGTTAACCACTTTTATAACAGCATTCATCACATGTTCAAAGTTTGAGAAGGACTTTTTGCACACATTTGCTTGGGGGATTGATGGAGTGGAAAGTCATCATAGTATTATTTCCACTTCTCTTCACATCAGATTTCAGTAATGGGTCTATTTCTATTTTCTCTCTCATAGATTTAGCACCATCTCTAGTTAAGGCAGACATATTACTGAAGTCTAACTCACATTTATCCAAAGTTTGTGTCAGACTGGAATACAAATCTGTTCCTCGTGTCGTACCTTTAAGTGCAACGACACTGGCTAATTCCTCTACAGTTGTGAAGTCTCTATCAAAGGCACGAATAAAAATGGCTACTCATGCAGTAGCTGTTTCATCTGTTGATTCATCCATCACTACAGAATAAAACTCAAATGTTTTGCATTTCGATTTTAATTTACTGAATATATCTGTTGCGAGATCCTCTATGCATCGTGCTGCTGTCACACCAGACAAGCTAATATTCAATATGACTTGAGCCTGTGATGGACAAAGCATATCAACTGCACTTTGAAGACATTCTTTTACAAATTCTTCATCAGCAAAGAGTTTTCCATGCTTAGCAATTTTTCCTGCTATCATGGTAACTAACATGAACACTATTTTCAGATCCTTTATTTGCTGTGGTGAAGGAAGACTGCTGAAAATTTAGTTTTGATTTTAATTCACTCATCTTATTACTTCGAAAAAATGACCTTCCAATGCAGAATATTTATCACTGTGCTTAGTATCATAATGTCTCTTAATGTTGTATTCCTTCATCACATCATTATGATGATTCCATTCATCATAATGTTGTATTCCACTGTCAATGCAAATAAGCAAACTGTCTTACCCTTATATACAAAAAATAAAGATCTGCCGTTGTTTTCTAAAAAAAATTGCACTTTTCCTTCAACTTTTCATTTTTTGGTATCACAGCTTGCCAGTCTGAATTTTAGAGTGTGGAATGAGCGTGAGTAACCTAGCTTAATATCAACTGTAGAAAATCTACTTATCACCAAATGAAACAGCATGTTTACCATTACCGTTCTCTTTGATAACTGATTGCAACATTAAGAGATATAGAATTCTGTTAATTTATTCCCCCTCCCCTCTATAGTAGCAGCATGCTCAATGTCACCTTTGGCAAAGTATTGACGAAAGATTGACACCTGTTGCAAACGTGTTAGAGATACGAATCTACCCTGTTTAAGGAATTGAGATTTTATGTATAGTCAAATTGTTTATTTTTAAAATTACATAAGATAAAGTGAAATTTTTGAAAAATTTGTTATTTTCTGAAAATTTTATCTCAGATAATGTCAAGTATAAGAGAAAAAATATGACAAAAAGCTCACGAGGCAATTTTTCTTGAAATCAAAATTTATTAAAGTTCTTCAATTTTTCTTCAGATTCAAATGTGGGGCCACTAAAATGGCTTGAGCAGGGGGCCACAAGTCGAAGACCCCTAGTTTAAACAATGGAATTAGTAATTAGTATCAGAGTGGCTAGTTTTCTTTTTTCCTTGTCTATTAAAAGCCTTGCCTTGCAAAATATAGTAATTTTAAGTAAATTGTTTAAATAGTGAATTGTGTATTTTTTAAAAAGTAAATTTTTCCCTAGTTTGAATAATGTCAGAAAAACCATGCCTTTTTTCTTATTATTATATGAAAACTTACATGAGATTTATTACCATGAAAACTGCATGTAATTTTCTTTTTTCAAGTTTATTCTCAAAACATTATATTTTGGTTAATCTGATTCATTTCATGCAAAACTATTTTAACCGCCAAGAATAATTTACTTGGTGAACTTCTTCATTTATAGCAACCTGTTTTCTCTTCCCTTTCTTCATTGTAGATGAGCAGAAAAATGTCATCGTTTGTACTTTCAATAATTAGTAACAAATTGCGTAAAACACATTTGGTGTTATTATTTTTTTAAAAAAGAAAAAAGATGCCAAATTTCAAAATGCTTCAATAGGTAAATTCATGTATATCTTAGAAAATTTTGAATAAAAAACTAATTTTTTGCAGGTGTTTTAATTAAAAATTAGAAATGCATCTACTTTAAGATGATGTTAAAAATTTTATAGGTTATAACACAGAAATTTTTTCGAAAAATTTATAAAAGATAGTTAAAAATACAAATTTTAAAAATAAATAATAAAAAATGTGTGAATTATATTTGGATTAAGCCTAAATTTCCAATTCTGGAAGAAGGAATTAAGTAAGTTTAATATAAAAAGAGATATTAATAAATATATATCAAATTCAGTTGACATTAAGGAGCTAAAATCTTGAGAGCTAATTTTTTTAAAAACTACTCTTACAGTTTTTACAAAACTTTAGTGTGGCATAATTGGTGGAAAAAAAATCGGCAGGTCATTGCAGAAAAAGTCCGATTTTGTGTCAAACTAGCTATATTAGAACAATGCTAGATGTAAATCTGATACATATCCTAAGTCACATTTTTGAGACATGAAAAATGCAAACTGAATTTTGTCAATCGGCCCAGTAGAACAGGACATATAAAACTGCCCCCCTTTTTTTTGCGTGCAGTGTACATTTTGAAATTTTGATGTACAGTCAAAAGTCGTTAATTCGGACACCCATAATCCGGAATAATCTATAATCCGGACCTCAAAGCTAAAAACTTTCTGCGCATGCGTCGCGTTGACGCATGCGCATAGGCGTTTAAGCGTGCGCGTAAGACCTTTACGACTGCTCATTTGCGTGTGCACAAGCGCAGAATACGTTTTCGCTGCGCGTTTAATGTATAACGGACGGTATAAGCTAACATTATCTAATTGTCTATTTAAGTTAATTTTGATGATTGCATTGTTCTTTAATCTTCGAATTGGATCCGGCTTATTATTTTTTGCAGACTGTAAGAGCAATTTTATAAAAGTAAGCTTGAACTTTCGATTATGTCAAATAGAATTTCCGATGCTGGAGCTCCCAAAGGATCTACGAAAACGAAAGTATGTTTCGATGTCCATCAAACAAAACGTGGAATTGCTCCAAAAGATGGATAAAGGCATATCCTTTGTTTATCTAACCGTTCCGAAATCTGTTTATCAATTTCACACAGCTCTCCGCGGGAGGGGGGGGGACGTCGCAGCGCAATGAACTGGAAGTTGATCTGTCAACACTATCGTTATTTTCAGGGCAGATGTTTTTATTTTATTCGGCTTATAATTCCTTATTAAATGTAGTATTTCATCTCGATGTACTTCGTCTTTGTATGATTTAAATCAAATTCCTCATCATTATAAATATCACGAATACAAATCAAATAGTTTTCTGGTTGTAATTTTCTAATTTCCGCTATGCATAATGTATGCTTTACACATGCGCGCGTTGAAAGAAATGTTTAATAAAGTAAACAAATAAATATTAAGCTTTTTTTTTGTAAATTTTGATACCCTTTAGATCATAATTGCTCATTATTTTACAAATTACGGTTTCATATTTTTAATTTTATAATTTCTATATTTTATAATTGAAATTTTTAGCAAATCTTAATTTTATTCTACGATATAAATTTAATTCTATGAATTGGCAAAATTAGATTCTATTTTAAATTATTTAAGAAGAAAGGTGAAATATTTGCTTAATTAAAAAAAAAAAAACTTTAATAATTATTAATGGTAAACTTCTTTTTTTGAGGTATGAGACTGTAATTTGAAATTTTCAAATTGACCAATTTTATTTTTATTTTATTTATTATTTGATGACTCAGAAGAAAAATACTAGTGAATATTATTAAACCATATCACCACTGCTTGTGCTTTTTTGTTACCTTTTTATATAGGTGTTCAATGGCTTCTCATTTATTTAACCAGGGTAATGTAGCAGCTTTGGCAGGAGGGAGAATCCTGTATTTGTAGGCCATAGCATATATATATATATATATATATATACAGACTGATTCTAAATTGTTTTTACAAGTTAAGAGGGATGATAGTACTCATCCAGATGAGCAATAATTACCATAGAACATAGGGTCACATTTCGCTCTGAAAGGCAGAAAAGATGAATATTAGAATTCCAACCTGAACTTACAACAGTGTGAGAGCAAACAAACCAGACCAAAAGTTGCACAAATTAGTTAAGTGAAAAACTTCAGATAGTTCACAAAATGGTTAAAACCGAAAACTTCGCTTTCAAGAGTTAATTCGAGCTCAGACTTTAATGGCAAACACTCATATGCACATCTTTGGTTGGCAAGGGTCTCAACCTCACAAACAATTGCAACAAGTTAATTATCTAAATTATAAGGGGGAAATTTTCTATTAGGGGTTAAATCTGCTACCTTGATATCAAGTATCAGTAGCAGTTTTTTCCCCCTTCGCCATCTTCTATCCTGCCCACTTGGACTTAATGTGCTGGGATCATTTTACTTGAAGTGCCCTTCAATGGGACACAAAGTTCTGACAGCGGGAACACAGCATGAACTTTTCATGCTAATCTCGGCTTACAGTGGAAGTTAGTTGATAATATTCAGCCCTTGATTAGATAAATAACTTGTTGCAATCCTTTGCGAGGCTGACTCCTTGCCAACTAAAGATGTGCTTTTGAGTGTTTGGCATTAAAGTCTGATCTCGAATTAACACTTGAACGCCAGGTTTTCGGTTTTATCCATTTTTGTGCACTCTCTGCGAGTTTTTCACTTAACTGATTGTGCAACCTTTGGTTCAGGTTGGAATTCTAATATTCCTCTTTATATTTCTCTTTTCTGGAATGCGAACGTATGTTCTATGTGACTATCGCCCCTCTTATATTGTAAAAACAATTTAGAATCACCCTGTATATATATGGTTTTTGATCTCAAATGAACCAGAAGAATGAAACATGTTAATCGACTTTATGAAGCTTTAATTCATTTTCCCCTGATGAGTTCTGAATTGGAGTTTCAAAAAAGAAGATTAACTTTTTAATTATATAATTTTGTATATTTTCCCTTTTGCATTTTTATTTTTCTAGGTTGTTCTACTATGAATTCCCTCTTTAATTCTATTAGTTCTGATATTATGTTATAACTCTTGTACAAGGTTGCAATTATTATATTATAGAGGAATTGCCTTGCTTTTATTCCAATTTACTAATTAATTTAGATGCTTTAAGTTTATTCTACTTCAGTTCTGCAGCTAATAGTGCAAGACGGGTTTTAAAAAAATTTTTATTCTAATTTTTAATTTAAAGTTTTAGCCTATTTATATATTTCTTTATATATACACACATATATATATTTGTTAATTTGTGCTTGTTTTGACCTTAGTAAAGAAAAGATCTATATTCACAATTTTTTTTTCCATTACTATTCAGAACCCGCCCATCAATTCCTCATCAAGATGCTGGAAGTGCAGCAGCCCAAAGTGAATCTAGTCCATTAGCAGCATTTCCAGCTGAATCTCCACCAGTACCTCCTCCCCGTAGCAGGCATGCTTCTGTTTCCCAAGAAAGTGACACAGCATCAGGTTCTCGACATTCAAGCCTGGAACGGCATTCCTTACGAGGTGAACTTGCAACTTTTCTACATATGTATTTTATTTCAGTGTTTGTTTTTATAGTTAGAAATAAGTTTTATGTATAGCTGAGAAGCAGAAGCTAAAAAATGGATTAAAATATTCATAATGTTATGAAAAGTTAATTGTAGTAAATATTATTTGAAAATAAGATTTTATTTTAATTGCACAATCAAAGTAATGCATTTCTCTGAATATAAACTGGCTCATGTAAAAACCTAAAAATAAGATTTTATTGCAAAAATTCAGCCAAAACTGAAAATCCATGTATAAACCATATTTAAAAATCCAGCTGTATCTATTGTTAAATTTGTAAATAATTTGTTATCTAACTTAGACCTAACTGATGGTGAGTGCCAATTTATTTTCTGTTCCATTCAAAAATATTCTAAGAGCACTGTAAAATATAAAGGCACTTTTGTCTCCAGTGGTCTTTGTTTTTTAACACTCCTGACTTTTAGACATGCATATCATTTGGTACTTTGACAAATGAAACAGTGAATTTTACTCTAGTTTTAAATTGTGATAACCAACCACTATCAAACATTCAGGTTTTTTTTTTTTTTCTCTCCTGTCAAGTCCACACTTGTTTTCTTGAGTAAAATAACAGTTCTTCCTTTCTGCAATATAGTTACAGATGTTTGGACAGAAAAGAATACCATATTCTGCTAGTAAAGTTTTCTCTTTTGTTGAGCAATGCTATAACTGAAAGTGAAGATATTATCTGTGAGGTTGGTGATAACGATGTTAATAATAAAATGAATAGGAATGACTTTCTTCTGCACATGTGTCTAGCAAAGAGAGATTTCTGAGTATTTCTAGAAAATACTTAATTAGATACCAGTTTTGAGAAATTTAATTAATGTGTATTAGATTTGAATAAAATAAAAAGATATTTTCTAGTTGTTTAACCTTTACTACTATTTTTGTGATCAAATTATTTGTAAATCATTTTGAAATAATGTATAAGCTGTCCTCCAAATGTCAGTAGTAAAAACATTTGTTACAAATTAGCTGCTTTTCATGGAAATATATATAATACTCAATCCTAAATTAACAAAATAGTGTAAATGATAATGGGGAACGTGCTTTCTTTGAACAGTGTATAATATGTCCAAACTGAATGCAAGATGTTACATGCATGAAATCAAAACAATTTACTACCTAAAGAAATAAAAATGAAGTTAATTTTCTTACCTTTGTCTTTTGCACAGGCAAGAAGAGTAGTCACTAGAAGTTGCAATTTTCTTGTGATCCGAACTATTGTAGAGGAAACAAAAATATGTTTAATGTACATACACTCAGAACATCACAAAAACTGCACACACACACACTCTTCCCCCCAAAAAAGTCAGAAAACTCTCTAGACATCCACAGTTGTCTGAATTTTATAGCTAGAAGTATTCCATTTTATATTGTGACATTTCCTGCCACTTGTGTTCTGGAGAAGGAATGCAACCAAAATCATGATAGGTAAAGTCTACTCTGAAGTGGTTTCACAGTTTATTCATGTCTTGTTCTTAGCATTGGACATTCTGGATGGTCTTTCTTAGGAATTCCACTATCAGACACATTTGGAGATTCTGGGGAATCTCTGTCAAAGATGACATCTTCACGAGATAGAGGAGTTGGTAAACTGTTTACTTCGTTTAAAAGTGATTTCTCACTTAGGCAGAAGAATTCTCTTCTCATCTTCTACTTCAAGACGATAAAGCATGATGTCAGGAATTCACTATTCATTGTCTTTATGTTAGCAACACAAGTATATTTGTCTTGTCTCAGATAAAGTATTTTGGCCATAGGCCATTCATTTGCTGTCATCACTACCAATAAGAACAATTTGACTTACACCAAGTGTGGTTGGTAGTTTGCGCTTTGAGTGAAATTTCAATTGATCCAGGTATTTTATTTGAAATCTTTTCATGAGGTTTTGTTTAAGATTTTGGTGGTAATGAAAATGTTTTTGTAAATGAGTTGTATCAAAAATATCGAATTCAGATACAGAATTAGCAAGTACTTTTTGTAAAACTAAAGAAGGTGTTAAAGGTTGTAAGTCTCCGACATCTTCTGACAGATAAGCCAAGGATGACTATTGATTATGCATTCCGCTTTGCACAAGATGGTAGACAGCTTATCGTGATGTTGTCGGACTTGTCTTAGCACTCTATTCAAGTTTCTTCTGGTCATTTTGATTAACTGCTTTCACCATCTGCCCCACCAGTTGGCAGTAAGAGGGATGGAAATCTATTGAATCCACTGAAGTCATTTCGTGTATGTTTTAATATTCTATAAAGTGGAAAACCCTATTGGTTCCCACAAGATTTGTACCATTGTCAGAATAAATACACAAGGCCCTTCCTCTTGATATGGATTTCTGAAAGGCCAACAAAAGGGTTTCGGTGCTTAGTGATTGTACAAACTTTGTGTGTACCGCTCTTATTACAGAGGTCATCTTGTACCTAAGCCATATCTCTATTTCTTAAGTATAATGATCCTCTTAAATCATCCCCCATTATTTCAAATGAGGCTGCATTTTTTATGACAAGTGCTTCTTGAAGTTCCGCTAAGTTACATTTATAATGGTTCAATACTAAATTCAACAATTAATGTATGTACACTTCAATTAATAATTTATCTTTATACAAAGCAAAACATCATACATTCAGTCACCAAAGTATAATTATCTGACGTGGGTGAGAAGCTTCCCACAAGGTCATGAGTATGTGATTTGTCTGTGGTACTTTAAATAAGCTATATGAATTAGTCTTCATTTGATAAACATGGATCATCATGACTTTTTTTTTTAAACTGCAAAACCCAAGCCACCTTTTTATTGAACAATCATATTTTTTTTTATTTGATTTTCGGTAATTTAACCCTCCTTTTTACTCCTTCAACAGAAGAATCATTACTAGATGTTCTATTTTTAAATTTGTTTCGTAATTGCTCGACTTTTGTTTTCAACAATATATACATGTCAGAATGAGAAATTATCTTCTTATGTTCTTAATCAAATATATTTTGATTAGCTTTCATATTTTTCAATAAAAGATCTGAAATATCTCAGTTAGCAGCTTCTAAAATTTTATAAATGTATCACTTAAAAGCAAAAAAAGCTATATCACATTCTTTGTGATACACAAGGCCCTTCCTCTTGATATGGATACACATACATACATTTTCAGAATTTTTTAAAAGTACGTATATCATAAGCTGATAAAAATAAATAAATGTAATGGCTTTTGTAATTTTGTTGTTAGGTGTATTTTTAGCATGGGACAGGTGATGTTTTGATTTAGCTTTTAACCTTTTAACTGTCAAGTTATTTTGATGATTTGGGTGCATAAATTATAATTTTTTTTTAAATTTCAAAAATGAAATGTTTGCCTCGCAGTCAAAAAAATGCCGTGCACTTTGAACTTTAACCTCTATCCTTTGAAACCTTCAGTAAATGCTGCCATCTGTTGAACTGAAGCCGAAATAAACTTCTCACGATATATATTTGGGTATAACAATATGATGCACTCAAAAAAAATTAGCCCGTGTAATACTCAGGCGTGACATTTTGGAATACCAGTGCTGTGCCCGAGATTATTTCGGGTATGACAGTTAAAAGGTTAAAGCTTCATCTAGTCTACTAGTAGCTTTTGTAAAATTTGTTGCTAGTGTTGGTGTAACTTTTATTAATTTTCCATAACTAATTTTCTCAATTAGAATCAGCTTTTTATAAAAAAGCGGCTTCCCTGTTCAGCTGCCAGATATTGTGCATCAAATTGAAACATTTTATAATTGAGAGAAACAAAAATGTGGCTTATTTTCTTACCTTAGCATTTTGTAGTCAGAAAGAGTAGGTGCTGGAAAACTGAAATTATCTTGTAATTTAACTACTGTAAAATTAATGAAAAAACTAATATTTATTTAATGTTCACATACTCAGAGCATCATGCATTCACAGAGTTCTGAACCTAACTAAAAATAATAGAAAACCAAAAAATTCTGGATATACTCAGATGTCCAAATTCCAACAAGAAATTTTCTATTTTGCATTGCAACACAAGATCTAAATAAGCAAACATCAGAATTTTTTAAAAGTACGTATATCATAAGCTGATAAAAATAAATAAATGTAATGGCTTTTGTAATTTTGTTGTTAGGTGTATTTTTAGCATGGGACAGGTATGTGATGTCATTTACTTGTTTCAGTAGCAATGATCTTAAGAAACTGTAAGAACAGTTGTATGATGGATTGCTATTATATGTGGGTATATACCATTGATGGGTTTATTATGCACCCAGTAAGCAAATAAAGTTGACCTATGATGGACCTAGTAAACAAAGAGAGCCCCCACATGCATTATTGATCATCGAAATCAGATTTTTGATACACAAACTGAATTAAAAGCTAGAATGAAATAGGTCATATTCAAATTCAATGTTTAAGTTCCAAGAAAACTTAGCTAACTTTGTAATGACATTATGTGATATATGAGAAGTTAATTGCTGAGTTATTGACTGCATTCTAGCTCTTGCAATTTGAATCAGGCATTATACTTTTTTCCTTTAATTTCTGATCATACGCTGCTAGCGATTAAAATTGCTACACCAAGAAGGGAAGGAATTAGCAGAATCTTATATACTGTACACATACAGTATAATGAAAACAAAATATGATTAAATTTGCATGTTGTTAGTGGTACACAGTGTGCAGAATTCAGTACACAGAACTACCATTTCTGGCAACAACAGCTCTAATCATCTTGTTGAATTTAGCATAGATAACAAATACACATATTTCATTCTATTTAGCTTCAGCTGTGTGCCAGAGTCTGTTGGTTATGGTATTTGGTGATAGCATGCCAGTTGCTCAGCAATCCATGACCAGATGTTCTCAGTGGATGCAAGATTGGAGGAATGTGCTGGCCAGAGCAACACTCAAAATTCTGTGTACAAGAAATTTTAAACACTGGCAACATGCAGTTGTGCATTATTTT